AGATTATCAAGACTAGAATTAAGTGCCAATGCGTAAGTGTTTGAACCAGTTGTTTGCAATATACAGCTGGCACGTGCGTTACAGAGACGGTTCACTCTGTTGTCCTACTGGACTTTAAACATGAAGCGACAAGACGAATCGGTGCAAATAATATTTCGCCAACTATACTCGTAGAAGCGCTTCAATGACGCGACTGTAGCGTGGCAGCCGCGCATCTGTAGCGCTTCAGTAATTTTGGTTCAACGTTATGACTACAGACTGTCGTGAAAATGGGTGCGGTTCGTAATATATAACAACATACATTGACTTACAAATAAATGTTCGACGGGTCTAATACAAAAACCACGAAAAAAATGTCCCAAGTCAACCTATTTAAACGTAGTGAGATTTCAAGGAATATAAAAAAGCTAAAACGTTGAATTTAAATTGTAATGTCATCGCAGTACTGTCTAATTTTGCTTGCTTCGCTGTCAGTCGAACAAACGAAGACTAGACCGTGAATGACGCTCTGTATACGATTTTAACGCCCTATAAGTTCGGACACTTTTTAGCGCGGACCTGAAGTCCATATAATTGTAAGTCAATGACAACATACGACATATTTTTAGTCGATATAAAGCTCAACAGATCTAATTAATTTATGGTACACAGACATTTGACATATTCTTGCATGCTATAAAGGTCACTGTGTATAATACTGCCCTCGTAACGAAAAAAGGCACAACTATGCGTACTTTATACGACAGTTGTGCCCTTTTTCGTTCCAAGGGCAGAATAGACGATTGATATAACAACATTCAATCTAAATACCGATGGCATAATGTTCATTTTATACAAACACTTCAGATATAACATTCACTGAGTATAATGTATTATTAATATAATTTGGGTGGTGTTTAGGTGCAATGGTGAACTAACCGAATTCGTTTGCATTTCCTAGTTGGTTCGACCTCCTCCTGTGGGTTTAGGTAAGGTTAGTATATGAAAAAACCGCACGAGCCGAGCGAGCGCAGCGAGCGTGCTGCGACAGCGGCCAAAGAGTGCCAGAACTGAATTTGTTTGCATTTACTAGTTCGTTGGAATTAAATATTCTGCTTAAAGTTTTAATAAATATATTTTATAACACAAAAAGCACTTAAAGCTATAAACAATTATGTTTTGCGATTGCCTTTAATGAAATAAAAAATTCTTATCAGCATAATATAGGGCCCTTCAACTATTCGTAAAACGAAATATTGTGTTATATTATTTAATACATTATACTTGTAGTACTTATACCATTTGTTCATTATGTCACGTAATCATTATATCTAATGCATTGACTTACAAATAAATGGAAGACGGGTCTAATACAAAAACCACGAAAAAAATGTCCCAAGTCAACCTATTTAAACGTAGTGACATGTAAAGGAATATGAAAAAGCTAAAACGTTGAATATAAATTGTAATGTCATCGCAGTACTGTCTAATTTTGCTTGCTTCGCTGTCAGTCGAACAAACGAAGACTAAAGCGTGAATGACGCTCTGTATACGATTTCAACGCCCTATAAGTTCGGACACTTTTTAGCGCGGACCCGACGTCCATATAATTGTAAGTCAATGATCTAATGTTTATTATACTGACGGTTCATTATACACATTGAATTTATGCCTTATGTTGTTATAACTTTAGTTGATTATATACAATGAATGATTATATCCTTAGAAATTATATCAAATGTTGTTATACAAAGTGAAAATAGATTATTTGTTGTTATATCTTCCATTACACACCCCGTGAAAATGGGAAGAGCTGGAACGACAGTCGTCGGACGATAAATAAAACGTCACGATAGTCGCAGCGTCTAACGATTCTGTCGACAAACGACACGGCGGTTACCGTGAACCGATAAGTTGTCGTCACGATCTAGTGGGAACAGCTAGACACGACAATCCTTACCGTACCTTGGTTACCTTATTTTTAAAACTACCTTACCAAAATATAACATTTTAAGTGCTTTTAAATTTATTTGTTTTTTAAATAAACCTTTAGGATTATTCTAGTTAGTAAATTAATGGAAAAATATATTATTATATTGATATAAATACCTAATGAACATATGTAATGATTAGGAATTTATTAATAGAATTATAGATAACAGATCGCGTTAGGATTTCGGTTATGTTGCCGCTCTGACCACGTACGAGAAAGTGATGGGTGACTCTGCCACTTCACGAACACATTTGCGCGTGTGCAGATAGCGCCTTGGGGTATGTAGTAGTAGTAGGTAAATAACTTTCGACCGTTGTTTGGAGTGTCCGTAGTGTGGTTATAGTCCTGATAGTTTTTGAATTGAAATTTCTAAGAATTTGCACGAGTAATATTTTTGTTACTGATTCGCTGTTTCGGTCTGTAGGTATACTGACATGGGAAGAAAAAACGGCACAAGCAGCAAAGGAGCAGGCGCATCCTTTTTTTTAAATAAAAGTCAGTATACCTACAGACCGAATCAGTAAAACAAATATTACTCATGCAAATTCTTAGAAATTTCAATCCAAAAACTATAAGCCCAAAATGTAATGAGTTGAAGTATGGTTGATATGTAGCTTTGAAAAACTGTACAGGAGACGGATAATATTTTTATACTAATATAATCTCAGCACAGAGTACTAAAAAAACCGACCTCAAAAGTACGTGGAATTACGTCTATTTGCTAAGTTTTATTGAAATATCGTCTAGTTCGCCAGTATACAGGACTTGACACTGGAGATAATAAAAATGGGTTCTCACTACTCAAAGTATATCGAGAGAAAAATGCCTTGAATTGGAGAAATAGCAAAATCAACCATTAAAGTAACTGCTCCTAAATTAAAGTTAGGCGCTATTTATAGAAGTGAATCTTCATGCGTGAACAGCCACCCTTGTAGGTGGATGACTTTCATCAAAATGAAACGGGACCACTATGGAAGTACCCCCTTTCCAACAAAAAAGAATCATGAAAATCGGTTCACAAATACCGGAGTTATCGCGTAACATACATACAAAAAAAAAGAACATACAGTCGAGACACATACATTGAGAACCTCCTCGTTTTTTGAAGTCGGTTAAAAAGTAGAAATGAACAGTGTTTTGTTATCGCATGTTCTGCATTTAAAATATTGGTCTCGAAGATGGGGTTAATGGCTTCAAAAGTTCTGATGAAGAAGAAAACTCAGGTGTAATAATAGTTCAAAATTACAATGATTTAATGGGAATAAATACGACATGTTAAGGTTACAATGCGTGGAACTGAGTACATGAGACTTTTTTTATAATATCAAGTGACGAGACGACAACGATAAGTCGTGCGTCTGATGGTAAGCTGTCTATCCATAACAGTTGCAGCGCCACTCAGAGCTTTAAATCGCAAGATTCAGATCTGAGGGGCACTGCCACTGCGCCCGACACCCTGAGACATAAGTTGACAAGTCCCATGTGCCTGTTATTTCACCAGCACCCTTACCCTTCAAAACCGGAACACAGTAATGCTGACATTACTGCTTGGCGGCAGAAATAGGCAAGGTGGCAGCTACTCTTCCACAAGGAGCTCTACTGCTACTAGAAACAAGTAGGACTACTGGGAATAAACGCATGCATCCCGATCCTGAGTTAACTGGACCCAAGCTTTGTCGTAGGCATCCAGGGGTCCAACCACAACCTCTTAAAACAATATTACCTTAACCTTACATTGACTTTTCGTACCATGACGCGCTTATAGTAAGCTTATTATAATGTTAAAACTATGATGTTTTATTGGCAGCTTTTTGACTATTTATTCACTCAGTTCGTACTATGACGCGACTTTAGCATTAAAGTAATATTGTTCTTATGTCAAATTTAGCAATCTTAAAATAGTTACTCGGACGCAGTGGAAACAATATTATTTTCGAATTTATTGTCTAAATGTTGATTTATAATGATTAAACATTACGTTGAACTTATTTATTTACATACATCTCTTAAATATTTTTTTGTTTATTCTTTAATTTAATACTACACAGGAAATAAATTAAATAAAAATACGCGATGTTAATTTCGTAAAATTATGACAGCGACATCTATGTATATGCTCCTTGGCGACACTAACAGTTGACACTAGACTATAATTCCGAATTCACAGCGTGACCATCAAGGCTCAGCTTGTTTTATTTATTTTTCTTCATTCTTCATTTTTTTTCAGGTCCCATGGTCACGGTTGACCGAGGTGGTACAGTTACCAACCAGTTATGTCTAATATTAAATGCGAAATATGTTACATCTTTTAAAATTAGAAACTATAGCCAATTATTGTATAGATTACATAGTGTTCAACATTATGATTGCCTTAATCAAGACACAGCTTATTTTATTTATTTTTCTTCACAAAAATGCAGAAAAATAATTTAAAACAATGTAATTTTAATAGATTTCATTATCAAATAGTTTTCTTTTGTTGGCAGTTAAAATTCTCTGAATAAATAATACTAAGTACTTTAACATTATACTACGGTAGGACGAATCGGAAGATAGCATTATACAGCATAGAAAGAGATGGCATTATACAGTTCATACAGCGTTATTTATTTCTTTCCTATTTTTAGTAAGGAATAGACAATATTGAGAAATCATTCGTTCTTTCAATCACTTTAGCAATAATACATTACTTGGTTGACAGATTTGTCATGGTACGAATATGAGTAATATTATAATAAGCTTACTTTAAGTTTATATTGAAATAAGATTGTTTTTGGAAAGGTTATGGTAGGCCCCCAGTTCGTATAGCATCTTGGTATCATAAAAAAACTTTGGCATTTGCAATATTAGTTTGGATTCTTTTGATTTTTAACTCCCGACGCAAAAACAGGGGTCCATAAGTTTGTCTGCGTAAAAAACTTATTTTAGTTGAGATCAGCCCATCCACTCGGGAGCTGCGACACACAAAGCGTTCAAACTTATTATAATTGCCCTTTTTTGCGCCGGTGCTTTAAAAACCATTACTAACCTTTTTCCAAAAGTTGAGCAAACATGTTTTGCACATTCGAATGGTGGTGCTTCCATCGCAAGCAGTACTGCTGCGGCGTCATCTTCATTTATGCGATTTCGTGGGGAGAGGGTTCAGTCGCGAGAGTAGATTGAATTTGCGAATAAGATCTTAGCTTTACAAAGTTTACTTAGTGACAAGAACGTTATGCCTCGCGAAATGAACGTTTTGCTTCGCGATAGGAACGTTTTAATTCGCGAAAGGAACGTTTAGCTTCGCGAAATATTCTCTGCGAAGAGAAAGTGTATACTTCGCGAATTATATTTAAAAGTAATTTACAAGAAACAGTAAATATTCATAAATAACACTTTGGTATTAAAGGCAGTTTCTGAAAAATTCCAATAGTTGTTTTTTTTTTCTTTTTGGTAGATAATTTTGGTTGATTTACGTCTTCCGAGGTTGTTTAGATTAATCTTAACTTTAATAATTTCATTTTCTAGGTACTTATTGGAAAGGAATGTTCGTCGGTGGTTAGGTACCTGAAACAAAGAGAAATATATCGGTTTATACATGCTGAAAATAATCAATAATCATATTACCTACCTAATACTAGAAAACAGTGTCAGGTAGTCAGTGGTAAGTGTGGATGAGACTTTAGATAGCGATGCGTGGCTTTGAATGTTACTAAACATTAAGCTACGAAACGAAGAGAAAATGTTAATTACGATATGAATATTTATATCATCGAGTACATATAACCTGAAATTGAGACGAGAGGTCATTTAATTTCAAAGTAAAATCGTTACTGACATGACAACCGCGCTCCGATTGACCAGCTCGTATTCGAAACAATAGACAGGTTTCGTCAATTGTTTCACTTGAAATCGACTACTTTAACTTGAGCTTTGCCATAATGGACGGAAATTACAAATTATATATTTAATATCTAATTACCGAAATGTAATTGCGTTTGTTTTGTAATTAGATGTTTTGCTGTTTTTCTCACACCACCGAAAGTAACAGCCCCCTTTGTTAGAGATATTATCTTTATTACAATAAATATAAAATATTTTTGGAATATACGAAGACGTACACACAGGTCAGTTGTTGGCGCTGTGTTATTTCAGCTTTCTAATTTGTGATTTCAGCGCAAACGAGAGTTGATATTTAAAAGTGATATAAGGCCCATTTGCCAGATGGCTTGCCAGGGAGGGACGGCCCTTATTTCGTTTCTATTTCTGGTTATATAATACTCACTTGAATACCAGAAAAATTGTCTTTTTTTAAAGACAGGTGCAGTGCCACTCGGAGTTTTAAGGCGAGGTGTTGCCACGCGAGCCTAGATTTTAGGAGGTGAGGTGAGAGGGGTCGCCCCTCACATCCTGAAATCCGCGCGCTGTACATTAATATGAAAAAAAAACCGACCTCATAAGTCATTCATCATTTCTTACAAAACCGGAACGCAGTAACGCTCATATTACAGCTTGGCGGCAGAAATAGGTAAGGTGGCAGTACTTCCCTGGACAAATCCTTTCACAAGGAGCTCTACTGCTACAAATATTCTAAAACTGGGTTATGGCTTTTTATATCTCAGAAAATTATTTAGTCACATAGCCGAGTTTTACTTAACGACCTGCACGTCAGTTGCCACGTATTTATTTCGATGTAGATCAAGGCTACCCAATGCACGGCCCCCGGACCACTAAGGACCACTTAACTCATTTTAGTTTACTACGCGCACAGGCACATTTAGGGCATCAAACAAAAGTGCCATTACATTTAGTAGCAGAAGAGCTCCTTGTTAAAGAGTTCGTCCAGGGAAGTACTGCCACCTTATCTACTTCTGCCGCCAAGCAGTAAGGTGAGCATTGTAAGGGTGCTGGTGAAATTACAGGCACACGGGACTTCTCAACTTACGTCTACGGTGTGGCGCAGTGGCAGTGCACCTCAGATCTTTACGATTTAAAGCTCAAATGGTACTGCAACTGTTAGGGCTCATTCAGAGTGCAGGCGCGGGTCTTGGCGTCTTTCCTTTGACAGTGCCGAAGAGGCTACGAGCGGGTAGATTCACACGTCCAAATCGCAAACAGACGCTAGACGACGCACTGTGAAAAGTACGGGCGGACCGAGCCAATAGATCCACCTGGATGTTATATTTATTGTTACAGCCCATTGACTTACAATTATATGGACGTCGGGTCCGCGCTAAAAAGTGTCCGAACTTATAGGGCGTTAAAATCGTATACAGAGCGTCATTCACGCTTTAGTCTTCGTTTGTTCGGCTGACAGCGAAGCAAGCGATGACATTACAATTTAAATTCAACGTTTTAACTTTTTCATATTCCTTTACATGTCACTACGTTTAAATAGGTTGGGACATTTTTTTCGTGGTTTTTGTATTAGACCCGTCGTCCATTTATTTGTAAGTCAATGTTACAGCCTTTCTTTATTTCTTTACCTTTACTTTATACAATAAATTAATGTGACCCTAGTAATCTATTATTATAAACCTTTTCAGATTTCTAATAAAAAAAAACAGCGTAATTGATATTTTTCAAGGAAAAATATATAGTATAACTATAACTTTTAAATTTAATATTTTCATTGAAAAAAAAAAGATCTCAAAGGTTTGCTTATGGGCTGTTTTTGTTTTCCATGGGATCCCCTCATCAAAATCTGACTTCTTGGTGACAATGGGACTGTTACGGACTTCTTTATACATTTTATACTTTTTTTCTGGTTGTCAAGTTGACGGTGATTTGTTGATCTCTTGTCACAATACATACATGTATTGTGACAAGAGAAAAGTCGATTTTTATTTGCGGATAATATTTTTTTAATTTGTAATAGCCAAAACGAACCCGGAACAGCCTCGAGAGTATGCCCTTTCAAACAAAAAAAGAAATTTCAAAATCAGTACACAATCGATGGAGAAATAGGTATGTACACTGACATGCATATAAAATTTTATAGGCATGTCAGTGTACATACCTATTTCCATGGATCCCCCATGGATTGCATTTAAACAAAAAAAGAATTTTCAAAATCGAAAACATATATATATACAGCCAACCGTATAACCTCCTCCTCTTATTTTGAAGTCGGTTAAAAATAATAACTTTAGGTGCCCATAATCTCGAAAGTTACTAAAATGCAAATGCGTTAGTTACGACAAGGAGGGTGTATAGTAAAAGGCGGATATTTTTCATTATAAATTGCTTTTATAGATCCACAAGAACGAATAAATTTTCGTAACCAAAATGTAACAAAAAACATGTCGGACAAAAATAACAATTCCAAAATTAGCCCTCCTTATAAGGAAATGCCAAAAATACGACTTAAAGCCAGTCAGTACGTCTACTTCCATAAAAAGTAGGTATTTCCAAAGATTACGTTCATATTTTTAACCAGTTCTATTTCGAGAGACCGCGGATAAAAACGCGATTTGGTTTTTAAAATAAGATATAGCACCTCTGTTTGCATTCAGGGGGCCTACTCTCGTTCTCAGACAGCCGTCACATGGACATAGTGACATCAAATGGACATAGTTATG